GGCCACCGGGCAGCTGATGCTTCTGCTTTTGGCTGCACGCAAGGAAAGCAGCAAAAGTCTCTTTCTCTCCCCCAAACTCCACCAGAAATGAGTCTTTGGGACCCTGCAAGGCATCCTGCTCCAAGACACTGCACAACAAGTGTCAGAAAGACTCATTTCTGGTGGAGTTTGGGAGAGAGAAAGAAAGACTTCTGCTGCTTTCCTTGCATGAAGCCAAAAGTCTCTCTCTCTCCCTCTCTCTCCTCTCTCTCTCTCCCCTTGAGAACGGAGCTGGAGATGGTATCCTGCGATCCCAAATAAAGAATGATCCATCAGTAGGAAAAGAGGGTGGGGAATTTTCCTGCAGACTTTGGGGGGGATTTTCCCAGGACCTCTGGTCCGCGGGATTTAAAATTATGAGTTTGGTGGTCCCTGAGGTCCAAGAGGTTGATGACCTCTGGACTAGAAGACCTCCAAGATTTCTTCCAACTCTTGTTATTCTGTGAAAGGTGATTCAGGAGACAAAAAGATGGATTATACGTGAACTGTGTGAGATGATAGCACTTAAGCGGAAAAGTAGAGAGCCAGGTTGGTACAGTGGTTAAAGGCAGCAGGCTAGAAACTGGATGTGCCCATGATTTCTAGACCCGACTTGGACACAAAGCCAACTGGAGCGTCTAAGCCAGACACACACACTGAGCCTTAAGAAGGAAGCAATGGCAAACCACTTCTGGAAAATCTTGCCAAGAAAATTGCAGGGACTTTGTCCAGGCAGTCTCTGAGAATTGGATATGTGTCAAGGTTCCAAGTAACACACACCCATAACACACAGAACTCTGAGGTAGGTAGATTCCTCAAAGAACAGTTTTATTTGATGTATTATATTGGCACAGATTGGTGAAAACTGACTCTAAAGGTTCCTTTTCACCTAATTAAAAATTTTCCCCAGTTTTCAGTCACATGGTCCAATCAGGGTGCTGTCCATCACTCCTCCTCTCTTCAATCACGTTAGAATGTCCTTGGTTCCCAGGGGAAAATATTTTGTTTTGGCTATAAACCCCCAGCTATCTCTATTACCCACCCCCCGCCCCAACCCTCATCTCCATTGTGGCAACCCTGAAGCCTCAGTCAGGCCAGCTTCAGAGTTGACACTATGATTGAACAGAAGAAGTAAAAAATGGAGACGTATAAGTAAATGCATATACTGAAAAAATGTGACGAGATGCAAAAGATGTCTTGATGTTGATAACAATGTATAAAGTTTTATGTTTTTAAAATTTGGAAACTTAATAAAATTTATTTTTTTTAAAATGGAGACGTATCGAGAGATTGAAAAGAGAGCGATTTTGGGGACTCCCCATTTTTGGGAGAATATAAAAATGGAAGGGATTTATAGTACTTAGAGCCATAATATAGAACAAGATACTGAATGTAGTGTAGTAGCCATTTGCCTCTATTCTTCTGAACTTCAGTTCTTACCTTGTTGGAAACTCCTGGCTGTTGAGCATCCACTTTCTAACAATCAGGACTGTGTTTGCTTACTATGCCTTTTGTCTCTCTGAGTGAAATGAAGTCTGTGTGATTTAGTGACTCTCCTACTAACTATATCAATTGGTTAGCAGAGATGGCAACGGGAATTGCCCCTATTCCTCCTTAAGAATTAGGAAGGAGTGGGTGGGATTTGGGTAAGTGGCTATTCCAAATGTGGAAGAGAGACTATAATTAAGCTGATTGTTGAGAAAATAGCTGAACGTGTTTCCTTTTTTACACAGCTCACAACAGACTTGATGTCGTAGTCACAGTAGTCAATCAGAAGCAATGGTGGTATTCTACAGATTCGGCCCAGTTTTGCCGAGCCAGTAGTGACGATGAGCAGCGCAGATCAAACCGGGCTGTCATACTAACCTTTATTCCCTTTTGAAACGCAGCTGCTTTGCGCAGCACAGCAGATTGCCGCGCATCAGCTGCTGAAGCGACAGGGAGAGTGCAGGATTGCAGGAGGTGAGCCAGAAAACCTCTGTGACTTCTCAAAATGTGCATTTCACTTTCTTTCGCTGCTTCCGACTCTTCTTTGGGAGCGATGTTATTTCTTGTAAAACTTAAATTCCAGGGTACATTAGTTGTTGCTTATTCAACTTAACCGAGTCAGCCAAAACTTTCACTTCTTATCTTCCTCCTGCACGTTCTTTTCCGGTTGAGTTCTTCTGTGAGGTGGCCATTTCTGACCACCACTCCTACCGCCTTCAGGAAAGGGAGTAATGGCTAGCTGAGGAGGAGAGATGTGGCTCTCCTCGACCCTGCTGGTGGTCTCCCCCCTCTTCACCACCTCTACAGGGTGGCTTAGCCCCGAAACCAGCTGGCTCGGGGCGCTCCAGCGGTGAGCTCAGGCAGAAACCACGCACGATCGCAGATTCCTGTCTGTTGCTGAAGCCCTTCAAACCGGAAGTCCCAGAATATACTATTTTGACTCTTATTTGGAGTAAGGAATCTATCTCAGCTTTCCTGTTTGAAGCAAATGAAAGGGCATCTTTCATTTTTAAAAGACTTGAGTGGCTTTGGGTTCATTGGTGCTTTGAGATTTGGGTCGTTGACATCTTTAGTTCTGGACAGGGTTGTACCACCGTCAGACCCAGTTTGCAACTTAGGGATTCTCCTGGACTCACGATTCCTGCTCAATGAGCAGGTAGCAGGTGTTGTTAAAAGAGCCCTTGCACAAGTTCAATTTCTGCACCAGCTTTCCTGAATCAAGACTCCCTGCACTCAGTCACTCATGCCCTGGTCATCTCACATCTGTACTACAACAATGCGCTCTACATGGGGCCACCCATGAAGAGCATTCAGAAGTTTCAACTGGTGCAGAGCGGCCACACTGGCAGTCTTTGGAGCCCCTAGAACAGGGGTGGGCAACTATGGCCCTTTTATGAATTATGGACTTCAACTCCCAGAATTCCTGAGCAAGCCATGCTAGCTCGGAATTTTGGGAGTTGAAGTCCACAAGTCATAAAGGGGCCATAGTTGCCCACCTCTGCCCTAGAATGACCGTGTTACAACCACTGTTCTGTGACTGCACTAGCTGCCAATCTGCTTCCGGGTGCAGTTCAAGCAGTGGTGGGATTCAAAAAGTTTTACCACTGGTTCGGTGGATGTGGCTTGGTGGGCGCGCCTTGCGTGCACGCACACACTACGCGCACACCAAACTCCTGAGGCTTCAGTGGCTTGCCTCGAACCTCCGGGAGGGTGGAAATAGCCTCTCCTGGGATCTAGACGCCCTCTGGAGACTGAAAATGAGCACTTCCAGTATTTCTAGAAGGCCCGTTTTTCAGCCTTCCGAGGCTGCAAAGGCTTCCTTCGAGCCTCTGGGAGGGCGAAAAAGCCCTCAAAGTGGGCAAAAATCAGCTGGGAGGCATGCACAGATGCAATACAGGTAAGGTGGCGGGATTGTTGCACATCCATGGACAGAGGGACAGGGCGCATTTTATTGTGGGTGCTGGCACACATGCTATCGTGTGCACGCATGCTTTCAGCACACCACAACAAAAAGATTCATCATCACTACCCTAAGAGGAAGTGTAATTATCTGTAGGAATGTATGTATGTTCAACAAGTGAACAAGAGGGCTGCAATCCTTTTCTGAAAGTGTTCTAAAGTTGTGTGCCACCAATGAATTATGTTGAGTTATGTATCTGTTTTCATCTTCTCTAGGGTTCTTGTGAAGGAGTCATCTCAGTGTGTTTTGTCTTAATGTCTTTGGTCTATAATTATTTTGTTGTCACAGTTTGACCATAAGGTATATCATTAAATCATTTAATAAAAGTGATCGGTATTATGTCTTTGTGTCTCATCCTTGAGCTCTTGAGGATGGATTATAAAATATGACAAATGAATAAAGTTAAGTTTTTATAAAAGAAATCAACTTTTTTTAATCCCAGTTCATCCTTTCTAATTATACAGTAGTTTCCTGCAAATTGGTTTTCTTAACCCGGTGTGGTGTGTATCTATTTAGGAAAATGAATTTTAAGAGGATAAATTAGAGACTAGGAAATAGATTTCTATACATTGTGAGAAATGCAGTTTACTAGCAATCTTTGACTTACAACCACAATTAAACCCCAAATTCCAGTTGTTAAGTTGGATATTTGTTAAGTGAGCTTTGTCCTATTGTATGGCTTTTCTTGCCAGAGTTGTTAAGTGAATCACTGGGGTTCTAACATGGTTGTTAAATGTATCTGGCTGTCAACTCATGAAATATTTCTATGGTCTATAGTTGCCAACAGAAAGGTAGGAGGGAGCAGTGCAGCTGCTTACAAACCGAAACTGCATTCCATAAATGTTTTCAAAGATAGTAACTAGGTGACCGAAGTTTCTGCCGCGCAAAACTCTAACTGGAGAGTATGATTGATGACTGTTGGCTATGGATGTGTCCCATTGGAGAATATGAATTACGATACACCCAGGGGGTGGGGGGAAAACCAGGGTCAAGCATGACAATGAATTATGTGTCTCAGAGTCGGCTACACCCAGGCAGTGCTGGCATGTTAACTCCCAATAAATCCTTTTGAAGTTTCGGAAGTTTGGCTCAAGACTCATGATTTAAATGGGGGTAACTGCCGGAGCCGTGACACTGGCTTCCACATTGCCTTTGCTTATCAGAATGTTGTGAAAGGGGATCACATGACCCTGGGACACAGCAAAGGTCCTAAATATGTGACAATTGCCAAGGGGGGCATCACACCTACCATAATAACCAAGACACCCATCATGTATGGTACCTCATTCTCCATGATAACTGAATTACCATATTACAATTCCCAGTCCCTTTAATAACATTGAACAAAGCCTGCCCACACCAGCACGTCCTTTTATCACAACTCCTGGCACTTGTCCAATCAAACACCATCATGATACACAATTCATGTGAAAGCAGCCTCTTGTTTTCACTCCCATCTTCTCGGCGATCTCCATTCTGTTAATGTTCTACACCCTGTACATTTAGGACTTACTATGGGGCGGGGTGGACTTACTCATGGCTTAATATATATTGTTGTGATTCGCTGGCAGCAGGTGCAGGTGACGGAGGTTTTGGAGAGTGAGGACTCAGATGAGGGGCCTGCGTGTGATGCAGGGATGGGGCCAGGACCATCAGGGAGTGGAGTGCTGCCTGTGGACATTGTGGAGGCTGACAGCAGTGATGAAGAGGTCACCGAGGAGCCTGTGCCCAGTGCCCGTGTGCGCAGGGCTGCTCGAAGAGCAGCTGCAGCAGCATGGGTGACTCGGGAGTAAGGCTGCAAGGTAATGGCCCCTCCCTTAAGAGATAAAAAGCCAGCGGAGAAACCGGAGTTCTTTGCAGGAAGCAAAGAAGTTTTTGCACTCAAGCCTTGCGGACGTTCAGGCTCTCTTACTTTGTGTTTGGAGACTTTTTGTGTTTGGAATATTTCTCGGCAATATTTATCTAGTGTTCTTGGCAGCCTTGCACAACCTTGGCAAGGCTCATTCTTATCAGAGACAATTATTTTGAAACAGCCTTTTAACTGGGAAGGAATGGAATTCGTAAAGAATCATTAAAAGGTTTTGCTGTTATCTCCGCCTGGAGATCCTTGGAACAAGTTGGGGTCAGAATATATATGTCATGGCCCTGTCGAGCCTGAGTCTGAAGAGGAGGACGCGACAGACCTAGGGCCAATGGGAGGAATGACCGGAGGAGCAAGACGAGGCAGTCCTTGGTCCTTCGGGCCTGGGAAAGGTCATCAGTGAGGGAGAGGGGGCACAGAACGACCAGGTGAGGGGGAAGGACAGGGCAGAAGCAGAGCAGTGGAGCTCTGGCCACAAGCAATTACCTCCCCCCCAATCCCTGAGCATGAAGAATGGAGAGGACGGGTCAACCCAAAGACTTGAGGAATGACATTTAAAGAGACGCTGTTGGGAGGAATGTTTGTCAGGAACATGTGTTGCTTCTTCCAGCCTCACGTGTGTTACCAATGTCTTGCTGTGGTTCGTCTTGTTTGCCTTGTTTGCCGCTGGAAACACTAGTGGGGTGACAGTTATGACACCACTTTTCTTATTCTGCAACTGGACTGGTCCTGAACAGGGCGAACTACTCAAAATTTGAATACTTGAGCAGGATTCTGTTTTAAGTTTTTCTTCAAGAAATTAAATCTTTCTGTATTTGCTACTTATCAAGTTTACAAGCATTTGGATGAGTGCATTCTTCTGTTATGGTTGCATTGTTTTTATAGTTTAAATAGTTTTGTTTTCTTGAGAATCTCACTGAATCGTTGAATTTGGCGCAGAGGTGGTATTCAGCAGGTTCTGACCCATTCTGGAGAACGGGTAGCGGAAATTTTGAGTAGTTCGGAGAACCAGCACATACCACTTCTGACTGGAGATTTTACATATCCTTCCTTTACTACGCCCACAGAACTGGTAATAAAAAGGTTTGAATCCCACCACTGGTTTGGCGGTGTACAAATTGAATTCAGGAGTCAAAGGAAGGACTTCACATAGTTCAGGCCAAGAACAGATGTAAGGATGGAACCAGGTAAAGCTCATATTTCTAAGAGCTCTCACCTGAGTGAATACTTTGATGGGATATAAGGGAATTGCTCTTCCTGAAGCCGTTCCTATGGTCCAAGGAATTATACGGTTTCTCCCCTGTGTGGATCAGTTTATGCGAACGAAGAGATCTCTTTTCACGGAAGTGCTTTCCACACTCCATACATTTATACGGTTTCTCCCCGGTGTGGATCAGTTTGTGGGAATGAAGAGATCTCTTTTCACGGAAGCTCTTTCCACACTCCGTGCATTTATAGGGTTTCTCCCCAGTGTGAATCCTCTCGTGGAGAATCAGGGAACTGTTTTGGCTGAAGCTCTTTCCACATGCCGCACATTTATATGGTTTCTCCCCTGTGTGGATCCTTTTGTGAGAAGTCAGGTGACTGATGTCGCTGAAGGTCTTCCCGCAGTCGGCGCATTTATACGGTTTCTCCCCTGTGTGGAGACTTCTGTGTGATGTCAGCTGACTGTTCCACATAAAACTGTCCCCGCACTCCGCACACTTGTATGGTTTTTCACCCGAGTGGCTCCTTTTATGGGAAATCAGATTCCCGCTTTGGCTAAAGCTCTTTCCACACTCCGTGCATTTATAGGGTTTCTCCCCTTGGTGAATCCTTTTGTGAGAAGTCAGGGATCCATTTTCCCGGAAGTTCTTACCGCATTCCAAGCATTTGTAGGGTTTCTCCCCTGTGTGGATGCTTCTATGGGAAGCAAGGGAACTGCTCTTTCGGAAGATTTTCCCACACTCCGTGCATTTGTACGGCTTCTCCCCCGTGTGGATCCTTTTGTGAGAAGCAAAGGCACTGCTACCTCGGAAGCTCTTCCCACACTCTGGGCATTCGTAGGGTTTCTCGCCGGAATGGCGCCTTTTATGGGAAGTGAGGCTGCTGCTAGTGCTGAAGCTTTTCCCGCACTCCGTGCATTCGTAGGGTTTCTCCCCCGTGTGGATCCTTTTATGGGAAGTCAGCTGACTGTGCCACCGGAAGCTCTTTCCACACTCCAGGCACCGATACGGCTTCTCGCCCGAATGGCTCCTGGTATGGGAAGTCAGGGAACTGTTCTTACTGAAGGTCTTTCCACACTCGACGCATTTAAAGGGTTTCTCCCCCGTGTGGATCCTTCTATGGTAAGTAAGTGAACTGTTCTTGCTGAAGCTCTTCCCGCACTCTGCGCATTTGAAGGGTTTCTCCCCCGTGTGGATCCTTCGGTGACAAGTAAGGTAACTGCGTTTTCTGAAGCTCTTCCCACACTCCATGCATTTATAGGGTTTCACTCCTGTGTGGGTTATTTGGTGGGAAATGAGGGAATTGTTGCTGCCGAAGCTTTCTCCGCATTCCCGGCACCTATATAATAGCTTTTCTTCCACATGGATGCTTCCACGGGTAGAGACAGTCCAATCTGAATATTTTTTTGCCTCCCCGCAGGGATATTTTTCTCCCATCAGGTGGCTCCTGTAAGGTTTGCTTACATCAAATCTGTCTTTGCACACTTTCAAGTTGCCCCCTGCACATTTTCTCTTCTTTTTTTCTCGATCCTTTTGCTCGGCGAGAAAGTCTTGAGCAGCGGCACATGGGAAAATGGATTTTTTGTCGATTCCCTTGGTGACTTGCTTCCTCTCCAAACCTTTTGATCCTGTTTTGTTGGCCAACTTCTTTTTATCTTCCTCTCCTTTGGGATGATGTGTGTGGAATTGCTGCATGTAGTTTCTTTCCTCTTGCCCGTGAGCTCTTTCTGCAGAGAAGAATGAAAATATAGCAAGGCTAAGGAAAGGTTATAAAAGGGGATTAAACCGGAATTGATCGTTTAGTATTTTTCAAGGCTGTTCCATGGACCAACATAAAATGACCACTAAGGACAACCAAATACACGCAAGTTCTTGTGTATAAAATTGCAAAGCAGGGACATGAATAATTTCTGTTTTTCAGTACAGTAGTAGAAAAGTTGTAAAAAATTGGAATCTCATATAAACATAGCTATGTGTGCTTGCCCAGTTCTTATCTCAAATGTAAAGTACAGGTACTCCTCAACTTAAGACCATTTAGCAACTGTTTGAAGTTACGATGGACCCCCCAAAAGCTATTTATGACCTAGTTTCAAAGTTCTAATAGCCAGGTCCTCGCCTCAAGGTCATTTTGGGTGCTTGGTAACCAGTTCAGAGTTATGGCCATTTGTGGTGTCCCGCAGTCACATGATTGCAATATACATTTTTGCTGAAACACAATTTCCAGGTTGCCTCGGGAAGGGAAAGGCAAAAAGGAAGAGCCGCGGTGGCGCTTTGCAACGGCAGCAGCAGCACCGGAGGCTCAGGCTCAGCGGCTCCTGGTTTTGCCTTTCCCTTCCCAAGGCAACGCGGGACTGAAGCTGCGCAGAGCTGCGCCCATGGTAGCAACTCCTGACAGCCCCAGACGGACACCTGAGCGGAGCTTGGGCGGAGGGAAAGCAGTGGGCGTTCCCTGGGCGGCGACCTCAGCCCTGCCACCAATGAAGCGGCTGCCCAGCTCCGTGTTGTGTGTGCGATTTTATGGCGCGCAGCACGGGGTCTCTTTTGGCCAGCCCCAATTTTTTTTTCAGAGGGGAATTTTTTTTCAGAGGCAGGCCGTATTAAAATGACCAACGGGCTGGATGTGGCCCGTGGGCCATAGCTTGCCCACCCCTGCCTCAGAGTAAACAATGGCTTCACTAAATGACTGCTACATTTGGCTTAATGACTTTGTGATTTAACATCATGGTTGCAGAGATTAAAAATGAGTGGTGGGTTTTTTAAAGCTCCAATTCTGAGCTTCCATAGAGAAAATCTGCAGTTTCACGCAGAATCTCGAAGCTCTCAATTCATTTGGTGTGTGTATATGTGTATGTGTCATACAATGCACCTTTCAACTAAAAAAACCCCAGACCCAGTGGTCATAGGGAACCAAACCCATTATGAGGTGCAGCGAATCCTCGATTCGAGGTGGCACAGAAGACACCAATATTTAATCAAGTGGAAGACTACCGCTTATCAGAGGCATCTTGGATAAAGAGTAGGAACATCCAACCCGATCACCTTGTGACGAGGTTCCATGCAGAAAACCCAACCAAGCCTGGGGAGGGTTCGCAACCCTAAGTCCTATACCTGCAATAAATTTGTTTTATGTGTTGCACAAGTCACCTTCAAGAAGTGAGGGGAGCCAAATGTCAATTAAAAAAAAATATTTCTTTGGTCTTTTCAGTTTCCAGTGGAAAGAGAGTGGGGGAAAGCAGCGTATTCCTTAAATGCTTCAGATAATCGCTTTGGCAACCGAAGCTTCTAGCATGCAAAATTATTACTGGAGAGCATGATTGATGACTCTTGGCTATGGATGTGTCTCATTGGAGAATATACATCCAGGGGGTGGGGGGAAGACTAGGGTCCAGAGTGAAATGAATGATGTGTCAGAGTTGGCTGTAACTGGGAAATGCCAACATGTCAACTCCTAATAAATCAATCTTTTTTTCTCTGAAAGGTGCAGCTAGAGACTTATGATTTGAATGGGTGTGCCTGTTCGAGTCCTAACAGCACCCTCCTCTTGTGCGGTGGCAGCCAAAAAAGCCAACACAATCCTAAATTTCATTAACAGAGAGATTTAATTAAGATCAAGTGAGGTACTAATACTACTCTAGTTGTGTTCCAGAACATCAGTAGGCCCATAAGAGGGACATTGGCTCAATATAGATGATATCCAGAAATAATGAGTTGTGGGGACAAGGATATGGAGCAAAAGGTCCTTACCCAGAGAGGCGACATTCTTTGAATTCTCCAGCATGACCTCCCCATGGAGGACTTTCTGATCAGCATCCAGGTGGGACCATTCCTCATCAGAGAAATACACAGCCACCTCCTCGAAGGATACAAGATCCTGAACATTGAAATGAAATGTCCCCATTAAAAAAACCAGGCCAACGAAAGAGGCTCAATCCCAGGAACAGGAGGCTTTCAAAGGCTCCCCTACAACCTGTCTGCTCTTTCTCCTCCTACCTGACTTGGAGATTCACCCGCTCTTTCAAAGACGGTAGACAAAGGAGCAGATCCTACAAACACCATGGACGTCATCTCACTGTCTGTAAGGGAGACAAAAGCAATGGAGACTTCAGACAACATTGTTAATAAAATATGGGGAAGATTGTCAGGGTTCCAAGGAACATACCCATAGCAAACAAAACTCCGAGGCAGGCAATTTCCTCAAAGAATAGATGTCAACTCATAAAATATGTCTATGGTCTTTTTAGAGTTGCCAACAGAAAGGGAGGGAGGAGCAGTGAAGGCAGATTGCAAAACCAAAACTGCATTCCATAAATGTTTTCATAGTTTCCAGGCGACCGAAGTTTCAGCTGCGCAAAATTCTAACTGGAGAGTATGATTGATGACTCTTGGCTACGGATGTGTCCCATTGGAGAATATCACTTATGATACACCCAGCGGTGGGGGGAAACCAGGGTCAAGGGTGACAACGAATAATGTGCCTCGGAGTCAGCTACACCCAGGCAGTGCCGCCATGTTTATTCCTAATAAATCTTAAGTTTTGGAAGTTCGGCTAGAGATTCATGATTTAAATGAGGGTATCTACTGGAGCCCTGACAATAGGTTTATTGTATATGTCATGGCACAAGCTGGTTGAAAACCGACTCTGACTATTCCCGTAATTTAATTAAAAGTAAACGCTTGTCACTTTCTCAAACAATTAGTCACATGGTCCAATCAGGATACTGTCCAGTTGCCAGATGACTCCAACCCCCTCCTTCAGGAATGTCCTTGGTTCCCAAGAGAAATCATTTTGTTTTGACTACAACACTCCAGCTATTTCCCCACTCCCTATCCCTCTTCTCCAGTGTGTCAGCACTGAAGTCTCAAAATGGCCTCAGTCAGGCCAGCTTCAGGGTTGACAGAGAGATTGCACCAAAGAGTCCACAAAGAATGAAAGATGGAGCTTTGAAGAACTTTCCTCACCTATTGAAGTGTTACAGCGCCGATCTTCCCTGGAGATGCCCCCGAGCTCCCTTTCTTCCTCTGGATTTTCCATGACGGCCTCCAAGAAGCTTCCCTGGCCCTGTTGTATCCCAGGACACAAAGAATGGAAAATAATGAAACAGCACACAAAATGAACCGGATTTTCTCATTTTGCTCTGTCCTCAGCTTTGTAACTTAATCTCTCGGTATTCATCAATGAAGATGAAGGAAAGAATTATCCCAAAATATTTCTGGAAGGAGATACATTGCCCAAAGAGTTAAACATCTATTACTTTCATTCAGAATCATGAGGTATAGTCCTATGAGAAGCCACTTAGAACTAAGGAGAAATTTCCTGAGAGTTAGAACAATTAACCAGTGGAACAACTTGCCTCCAGAAGTTGTGAATTCTCCAACACTGAAAGTTTTAAAGAAGAGATTGGACAACCATTTGTCTGAAAGGATTTCCTGCAGGGGTTGGACTTGAAAATCTCCAAGGTTCTTTCCACCTCCGCTATTCTATTCTATTCTATTCTATTCTATTCTATTCTATTCTATTCTATTTTATTCTATTCTATTCTAATTTTCTATTCTACCCTACTCTATCCTATTGTCCATTCTATTCTCTATTTATTCTCTATTCTACTCTATTCTATTTATTCTACTCTCCACTCTATTCTATTCTCTATTCTATTCTATTTATTCTCTACTCTACTCTATTCTCTACTCTATTCTACTCTATTCTATTCTTGACTCCACTCTATTCCATTCTCTATTTATTCTTTACTCTATTCTATATTCTATTCTATTCTACTCTACCCTACTCTATTCTGTTCTATTCTATTCTCTACTCCACTCTATTCTATTCTCTATTCTTCTCTATTCTCTACGGTATTTATTCTCTATTCTACTCTATTTGATTTA